AATTATAAATTTTTTTTCAAAAAAAAATGAACAATTTCAATAATTTATTATACTCAAATTAATGGTCAAACAAATAAAATCAATAAAAATAGAATATATGTTACAAACATTCAATTTAGAATAGCAAAAAAAAGTTGTATATTCTTTTGATTTTTGTGAAATTTGTATGTAATAATTTCATAAATACACAAAAATGTTTCTATTTTATTTCATATACGATTATTAATTATATTTCTTTAATTGATATTAAAATATAAATTATTTTAAATGTTAATATATAATACTTTAGGTTGCACTAGTCATAGCTGTTACGTTAGCCATGCGCGTGTTCAATAGTCAAATAATATATATGTTAGGTGACATCATCACGCAAGCGATCAATGTGTTTGTTAGGTAAAGAACAAAGAAATTAATTACAAACGTCTCGTCATCAATTTGTGTTTTTATTAGACTTATCTGTCACATCAAAAGATAAAATTTTATCTCATTGTACTTGTTGGTAAAAATTATATAAGAGAAAAAAAATCATTATTGTTATTTCTCATTTTAAGAGTTAATATCTTCATTATCGTCAAAGTTTATATTTCTATTTTTTAAAGAATTTTTTCTAAAATTGTGATGTTACATACTCATATTGTTCTATCAAATTTTATAAATTTTCTTGAAAAAAAAATTCAATTAGAATAATAACTATGAACAACTTTATAGAACATATTCTTGGAACATTATACCAAGTAAAACATAAATTGTTGATTGTTTAAAATCTATCAAAACATGTTGATATATCGTCAAAATTTAATTTTTCAAATTGAGAATCAAACTTGACTATATACAATAAATTTTTTTCTTCAAAAAATACCAAAATTTAATTCTAAATTAAACCATATTTTTTTGATATTAATGCCATACCAATTGAACTTAATGTAATATATGGAAAAATTATTATATATTTCATGTATAATAATCACAAAAATATATATCATAATCAAAACAATCCATAAATTAACAAACGTTAATTGTTTTATCAATTTTGAAAATTGATCAAAAAGATTTAAATTTCTAAAAATTTTCAATAAAAAAATTTCATTCATATATATTTCAAGATTGAATATTTAATTCAATGTAAAAAATATACTTATTTATATTCTTTGAGTATACAAATGAATTTAAGAACTAATCAAAAATTTAACTAATACATGATTGAGATGAGAAAAATCTAAATTAATGCATAACAAAAATAATAACAAAATTGATCCGACGACAGCCTTTGGGTTGAGGTCGACGAAGAAAATGGATGAGCACAAAACTTTTCGCAATGCTGGAACAAATTAGAAAAGAGAATTTCGGATGCCGATGATTACTTTGTGCAAGACCAAACTGACTTGACATGTGTTTCCCTTGTGGACGATGACAGGATTTGGTTCAGAGGGCGACATTGGATGCGATTGGAAAAGTGGCGTTTGGAGTAGACTTTGCCTCTCTGCAATCTGCTCTTCCAAAGTCATGGCCACACATAGCCTTCGCTTCGTCGCTGGACTTGGCCACCACCATCGCGGTCAAGCGCTTCAATGATCCTTTTTGGGAGCTCAAGCTGTACTTGAACATCGTTCCGGAGCAAATGCAGGTAGTGGATGGGTTTACCTTTAGCCTTATTGCTGACAGAAAAGCCGAGCTCAAGCATCTTCATGGGCAAGTCTACAATCTGGCTCAAGCTTACCTGGCTCTCGTCGAAGGAGTATGTTTCACTCATCTCACATCTTGCTCTCTGAATTGCTGCAGCTGGTGGCACCAGCGTAGACTTCGTAGACTCGGCAGTCCCTCGTGCAATCTGATATATAGATTCGAGCTGAGATGTTGTGGTCATGCCAGCAGACCCCGTATGAGAGTGATCTTGTTTCCAAATTTCTCAACCTCACGATGAGAGACGACAACGCAGACAACCCCAGACAGACAACCCCGTGTTACTGCGGCATATCGTCATCAACTTAGTGATCGCCAGTCGGGATGCTATTGGGTTGACACTCACGTGGCTTGTCTACGAGCTGAGTATGCACTCGGATGCGTCACAAATACTGTACTTAGAGCTCCGAGACTATGAGATCCGGAGACAATTCGAATGTGAATGTTCGGTGGAGCAGTATTGGGATGTCGAGCTGCAAGACGAAGACTACGTTCGCTTGATGGACTCACGAATTCGTGAATTTGTTGCGCTTCTCACCTCGAGTCTATAGACTAGCTGCCTTCCTTGCATGCTTGCCTTTAGGAGACACTTCGACTTCACCCCGCGGTGCCTCTTGTATGTCTCATGAGCCACATCTTCCTTCATCGTTGCTTTTAGAAGGTGATTGTCTTCTTCATCTTTGTAGACCTCGATTTCGAATCTATTCAGGGCAATATCATAACATGGCTAGACAAAGAACCACGTAACGAGGAGACTCGACCTTTATGGTGCCCAATTGCCACGACATGAATCTGATTCATATAGATTGGTAAGGTGTTGTAACCAGCGGTGCTTGCCCCTCGTGCAGGAACCCAGGGACATAGAAGAAGACTACACACTTCCAGCAAGAGACGTCTTCATAAGCAGCCAGAAAGGGAACGTAGTCTTCATTGCACCATATTCTATGGCTCGAATGACGTCTATCTGGGGTCCGGATGCTGCACAGTTCAACCCAGATCGTTGGCTGCAGAGTGGCAAATTGGAGCCAGCATCTGACAGCAAGTTAGTGACATTCCAGGTGGGTTCCCTGATTTTTATCACCAGATTTGAACCGCATTCACTTTGAGTTATGGTAGGGACTCAGAGACTGCTCACCTTCACCGTCAGGGATTGCTGGCTCGACAAGGTCTAGGCTAGAATCGTCCTTTCTCGCTATTGGTTTAGTCGTTCGAGCTAGAAAATGTGAAATGAGGTTAGACCTGAGGGGTTTCTTTGAAGAACTTTGTGATATATGTGCAGACGAGTCTTTATACCAGAGTTGCAAGGTAGCAACAACTATTTTGGTTTGCTTTTTCTAATTTATACGCGCGTGTCCCGTCAATCGTCCTCCCGAATATACTATGACGTCCACCTTGGTGATGAAGAGCGGCCTTCAATGCATCCATGGGACAAAATGGGAGCTAGTATTTAGTAGAGATATTAGTTGTGGACATTAATGAAGCTTTACTTTCTACAGAGGTACCATGTCAAAAGGTCTCTGCTGTTGGTCCGCCCTGCACTTTTCCATTGTAGTAGTGGGCTGTTTTGTTCCGCCTAAGTCGTGACGCGGAGAAAAAAATTCTATTAACTCTCAAGAGTGAATGGAGAATGTTGTTCAGCATATGAAATATGCCCCCTGCAGACACTGAAACAAATAAAATTATGAAGATTATAGTGAAACTTTTATCTCGGTTGTGGGCGTAAACTCTTCTGTATGTGAATCGCATACATTATTATGAGATTCTGTACAAAGATAAAGTATATATCAAAATATGTGAAGAGTGTATATGGATTTATTTATATAATATTTTTTTAATAATTGGTATTATTTTATTTCAATTGTTTTTATATTGTGATATATACTTTATAATATTCATCTATAATCTGATGAAATAATTAGAAAAAAATCTTGAAAATTTGAATTTCACAAGATTAAAATTATGCAATTTTTCTACTTACAAATGTTATTTCATATTAATGTTGATTGAAATGGTAGTATCTTTGAAAACAATTATATTTTTGAAGCTCATATGTTTTATCACATAATATATCTGTAGCCAATATATAAATGTCATCTTAAAGTTTAGTATTGAAACATTCATTGTAATGAATAAACTTAAACTTACTTGAAGACATGTAACATTCACGAATACAAAATTTAAATAAGAGTGGAAAATCAAGGAGAAATTCAAATCTTGAACACAACAACTTAACGAGAGAGTTTATACCTTGACCTTTACAAGAGTATGTAGCATCTACAATAGAGGGAATGTAGCCATTTTTCACGAGAGAGAATGTCTATGTACTTTGGGCAGTTGGTGGGGTTTCTCTCTAAACTATGTTGGCTTTTGGTTAGTACGCAAAAGATGTTATCGTCTATGCTTGTGATCTGGTCTTCGTTCCATGCCTCTCGGTCTCCTATCCGTAATTATCTCCCCAGTTACTCTTCCGTTGAACTGGCGGGAGCTGTGATACAGTCTCAGTATAGTCTACTTCAAAACTCCATAGCAGCATACTACCTTCAAGGTTTGAGAAATTGACTTTTGATTGGGGCTTCATGTGACGTTCTCATAATGGCCTAAAAGACGACATCAACACACTACAGTAAACACTACACGTAATGCAACTGTGTAAATATCCGAGATCGATCGAAATTGGATGCGACTTTTATCCCTGGAAAGAAAGTATTTTGGGCAATGGAGCTTTCTATAATAAGAGCTTCAGAGTTCCTGTCCGCCGCCGAGGAAGTGGAGAATCAGAATGATAGAGGCCTTGGAGGATACCATGCGACAAACTTCTATGCTACACATCACGCACTTCTTTCTGTTTTTCCTATCAGATCCTGATATAAGCACCAGTGGTTGTGGATTCATTCATGAAAAATTACTTGATCTCGGCTTCGGCCCCGATCACGTCTGCGTCGAGACTCGGGAATGCAGTGCAGGGAACACTGGAACATGGAGTGTGCCGAGGCTGCGGTCCTCTTAGCTTGGCAAGGTCCGTTTTCGGCTTTCGGACCATGCCCTTCTAGGTATGAGGAGATGGGATGAGTTTGGCCTGCATGAATTCATATGAAAGCTGTGGATCAATCCAGTTCCACAACATGTGTGCTGAAATGGGCCGGGCCACGTCTGTCTCAATCACAACCAACTGTGCAGAAGGAAACAGATCAAACGACTCCGTGTCTCCCAAAAACAACTTGCTAAACTCGGACACTGAAGAATACCACTTCTTCCGATCGTCATCGACGGTTCCGTGGCTTGGTTTACTGAACTGTGACAGAAACTTACAGCAGACGAGGTCATTTTTTGTTTACATAGAGATACGGAGACCATTTGGCTTCGGCCAGTGTCTTGAACTCGGGTAATGCTTTGCTTCTCCTGTCGGTGTCGGGCACTGCATGGAGAACTTTGCTCCCGAGGCGCTTACCAGCGTCAAAGAAGTTTTCACCCTCGGCCGGAAATACCCTCATAAGAGCATGTTTCACAGCATGTGTACAGGTGTGCGCCAGCGATTCCAGAGTGGTGAACGGAGGATTGAAGAAGTGGCCCTCGACCAGACACCCTTTCAGTGCCAGCCTTCGACAGACCAGCAAGCCCGCTGCGGCCCCGAGTGAATGACCGGTGACGTTCACGCTGCAGAACCCATGTTGCGCACCGAGACTCCGGACCACAACCTCCAGAATTGTGATCAAATTCTTAGAATTCAGTGTCTCCAAAATGATTGCAAGATCGTTTTGGAGATCCGCCCAATTCAAGGGCTCAGTTCCGCTGATGGCTACTACCCAGTCCGAAGCCTCGGCTGAAGGACTTTCCTTCTTTCGTCGGAAGACACCGAGGTACTTGTTCTTATGCTCATCCTGCAGTTCTGCACAACCATATATTGTTTTCCGCAGTCAAGCAAGGTCGGATTCAGATGGCCTTTAGGTCGAGATGGATCATGTGAGTCTGATACAACACGCACCTGTTGCATAGCGATCAAGATCGTCCTCAGTCAATACTTCGTCCAACTCCAACAGATCATAGTGCACCTTGGTCCACCATTCTATAGGAGGTTTGCCTTCGAACATGTCGTACACACCATAGACCAGACTTCCGAGGATGAGACGTTTCTTGATCTTCCGCACTCTTGCGTCACTGTCATGATCATGGCCGACATTGATCTTAATCAGTTACACCATATCTTAGACGCCAAAGGTTCTGGCCTTCTTCCAATAACCGTAACAATTTGTCATGTCTATGAAACGAAGATTAGTACAGGAAATATCGGAACTCAGAGTCGAACCAGTCTTCTTACTCTTGCTTATCGTTTGCGGTAAAAATCTGTTCCGGATCGTTGGTCTTTGCTTCCTTCTCCTTGTAATGATTGTTAATAACGTACGCCCCATACGCCCAACAGACGATCCCACCACCCAAAAGTGCACTCATGGAGCCCATGGTCTGGTCTCTGAAAAGGAAACGAAGGTGTCTATTAGATCATGCTCTAGGTGGCAGCTCACTCGGTCCCCAGCTTACATTCGATATTGTTTAATTTTCTTCGCGGGCCATGCATTCCCTTCTCTGCAACCTTCAAACAACTTAGAACCATGATAACTTATCACAATCCAACAGAGCTTCCACTCGTTCGTTAATATATCTCAAATATCGTTAAAATATCTCAAATCTTTTAATTATAATGATGAATCTAAGACTTGAGAAACTTGATTATAATTGTTTGGATTATTTTCACCACAATTAATCTTCTCTTATAATTATGTATTTTTCCTCTATTTTTTTAAATTCATTTCTTTTATTTATAATATTTTTGAAAAAAAATATATTTTAAAACTCACATATTTTATCATATAATATATATCTAGCCAATACATAATTGTGTTGTTTCAATTCATTTATTGAATCTTTTATTGACATGAATAAACTTAAATTTACTTGAAGAAATGGACTCTGAAATTCACAAATCAAAAGTCTGTTAAAGAGTGGAAAATCAAGCAGAAAATTCAAATCTTGAACACAACAACTTAAGGAGAGAGTTTCTAACTTAACCTTTACAAGAGTATGTAGCATTTACAATAAAGGGCATGTAGCCATTTTCCACGAGAAAGAGGCTCTATGTACTTTGGGCAGTTGGTGGGATTCTCTCTAAACTATGTTGGCTTTCAGTTAGTACGCAAAAGATGTTATCGTCTATGCTTGTGATCTAGTCTTCGTTCCATGCCTCTCGGTTCTCCTGTCCGTAATTATCTCCCCAGTTACTCTTCCGTTGAACTGGCGGGAGCTGTGATACAGTCTCAGTACAGTCTATTTCAAAACTCCATAGCAGCATACTACCTTCAAGGTTTGAGAAATTGACTTTTGATTGGAGCTTCATGTGACTTTCTCATAATGGCCTAAAAGAGGACATCAACACACTAAAGTAAACACTACACGTAATGAAACTGTGTAAATATCCGAGATCGATCGAAATTGGACGCGACTTTTATCCCTGGAAAGAAATTCTTTTGGGCAATGGAGCTTTCTATAATAAGAGCTTCAGAGTTCCTGTCCGCCGCCGAGGAAGTGGAGAATCAGAATGATAGAGGCCTTGGAGGATACCATACGACAAACTTCTATGCTACACATCACGCACTTCTTTCTGTTTTTCCTATCAGATCCTGATATAAACACCAGTGGTTGTGGATTCATTCATGAGAAACTACTTGATCTCGGCTTCGGCCCCGATCGCGTCTGCGTCGAGACTCGGGAATGCAGTGCAGGGAACACTGGAACATGGAGTGTGCTGAGGCTGCGGTCCTCTTAGCTTGGCAAGGTCCGTTTTCGGCTTTCGGTCCATGCCCTTCTAGGTGTGAGGAGATGGGATGAGTTTGGCCTGCTTGAATTCATATGGAAGCTGTGGATCCACCATCCAGTTCCACAACTTGTGTGCTCTATAGGGCCGTTCCTCGAACGTCTCAATCACAACCAAATGTGCAGAAGGAAGCAGATTGAACGACTCTGTCTTTCCCAGAAACCACTTGCTAAACTCGGTCACCGTAGAATACCACATCTTCCGATCCTCATCGATGCTTCCGTGCATTGCTACTGTGAAGTGTGAGAGAAACGTTTTGCAGATGAGGTCATGTTTGTTCACATAGAGATACGGAGACCAATTGACTTCGGCCAATGTCGTGAACTCGGCAAATGCCTTTTTTTTCCCGTCGGGTTCGACCACTGCCTGGAAAGCTGTGCTGCTGGCGCCCCAAGCAGCGTTTTTAAGTCTTTCATAGAGTTTTTCACCGTCGGCCGGGAATACCCTCATACGAGCATGTTTCACAGCATGTGCACAGGTGCGAGCCAGCGATTCCAGAGCGACGAACGGAGGATTGAAGAAGTGGCCCTCGACCAGACACCCTTTCAGTGCCAGCCTTCGACAGACCAGCAAGCCCGCTGCGGCCCCGAGTGAATGACCGGTCACGTTCACGTTGCAGTACTTATAGTCCTTACCGAGACGCCTGACCACAACCTTCAAAATTTTGATCAACTTTGAAGATTTCAGTGTCTCCAAAACGATTGCAAGATCGTTTTTGAGATCCGTCGAACTCAAGAGGTGAGTTCCCCGGATCGCGACTACCCAGTCTGGAAACTCGGCTAAAGGAAACACATTATTCCGTCGGAAGACACCGAAGTACTTGTTCTTATGCTCATACTCCACAGCTGCACAACCATTTAATTTTTGCCGCAGTCAAGCAAGGTCGGATTCAGATGGGGTTCAGGTCGAGATGGTTCATGTGAGTCCGATACAACACGCACCTGTTGCATATTTATTAAGCTCCTCCTTAGTCAATACTTTGTCCAACTCCCACAGATCATAGTGCACCTCGGTCCACCATTCCTCGTATTTTCTTGCACGTTTGAACCTGTCGTACATCCCATAGACCAGCCTTCCGAGGATGTAACGTTTCATGAACTTCCGCGATGTTGCGTCACTGTCATGATCATGGGCCAACATTGAGCATGATCAGTTACAAAATATCTTAGACGCTAAAGATTCTGGCCTTCTTCCAATACACTTAACAATGTCTCATATCTATGAAACGAGGATTAGTGCAGGAAATATCGGAACTCAGAGTCTAACAAGTCTTCTTACTCTTGCGGATGGTTTGCGTGAAGCATCAGTTCTCGAACGATTTCCTTTGCTGTCTTCTTCTTGCACTTATCATAAGCATGGACGTACGCCCAACGCCCGACGACCGCACCACCCAAACCTGCAGTCATAAAATATTCCATGGTCTGGTCTCTGAATTGGATACGAAGGTGTCTATTAGATCATGCTCTAGGTGGCAGCTCACTCGGTCCCCAGCTTACATTCGATATTGTTTAATTCTCTTCGCGGGGCCATGCATTCCCTTCTCTGCAACCTTCGAACAACTTAGAACCATGATAACTTATCACAATCCAACAGAGCTTCCACCCGTTCGTTTGCGAGAACGACAATAACCACACATCGCAAGGGTTCCTCGTTGTTCAAATCTCGTGCCAAAGCGAGAGGGACGGTCAGGAATCGTCATGAGCGAGAGGCGTCTAGACACAATCCCCGTACGAAGACGCCCTCCTGAGCCGCTCAGACCCAGGCCTGCTCACTCACCCCACACCATGAAGCCAATGCCATTGCAACCGCCTTGTGAGCTGATTAATCCTTAAACGCTCAGGCTCAGCTTCGAATGTATCTTGTCACCTGCCAGCCAGCTGCATTCACTACCGTGGACACTGCTGCACATGCTTGCCTTCGGTGTTTCTAGGATCATGCGGTGGCTTTGACCTTCTGTCCTGCCACAGTTTCCGAATCATCGTCGTCCAAGCATCATATCATCATGATCATCTGTACCACACCATAATCAGTGAACCCGATGTGGAAGATAAAAATATGTTTTGCTGGTGGAGAAACGGAGCCCATGCATTCGTCCAAGCATTGTCTTCTCGTATCTATGGAATTCGCGTCATACGCAAGCATCAATCAGAAAGCAGTGCATGATTGCGAACATGTGAGCTTCGTGGATCAACTGTGTCAGTGTGTAGAATCTGCTCCTGCTTTGGCTTAGATTCTATATCAGAAATTCATCACTCTTTCTTCATAGATTTCATCCCGAGTAAGAGCTACTACTGAGCGACTGAATAAGTACTCAATTTGATCAAATAGAGATTATTTTGCATTATTATCTCATAGAGATAATAATGCAAAATACAACTCCATTCCACATTTAAATACAAGTCTGATCAAAATCCATACGATCAAAAGTCGACTCAGGAGATTCACTTTAATAACATTTGATAGTAGTTGCAGTGTGGATATGGTGATATAGAATTCTGAAAGCTGCTGCTCTGTATACACGCGCTTTTGAGCGAAGTCGTCACTACTTGTGTGTACTTTTATCGCGCAGGACCGGTCGGCCTAGCGCTAAACCAGGCTCGTACCCCCTCCCCGTACATAGTAATCCCCGCAGCTTATAATATGATTTCTGAATTGAGCGCGCTTCGCGTTATGACTTAACGTCCCAGTGTCATCGAATTCTGAGCAATGGGAAGTTGATGAGATACAGATTTCTCATCAAAGCCATAAGGCCTGATAATATCCGAGGGCCCTGAACACGCTGACAATACTGAGTGTCTACTTGTATGACTGCTGGAGAGCTACAGGAGTCAAGTTGATGTCCCATCCTTTTTGGTTTTCTACTTGACCCCGATTTTATGGCTACCCACACAAAGTATATTCACTGTTTAGTTGCACTAGGTCTCTACATACAAACATGACAAATAAGATATCACAAGTGACAGAAGCTTCAAGTCCCTCTCAACAACTTGAGTGGAATAAAAGTCCACGAAAGATACTATGCAGAATCTTTCTAGAAGATGAAATGAAAGTAAAAACGAAAAAATGGTAAAAAGTGGCGCAGATACTGCGCTCACTTCCGAACGTGAGTTTCATTCTTTCATTACATTAAAATGAACGAGTTGATATTCCGCGCATCATCCCATAAATGTGACTCTTTCTTATGGTTTAATGCATTTGAGTTCATGTAGCTAGGAATGTCCAGCTCATTGATGAGCTTCACAGAGACGAATAAAGTCCACTGTTCGCATCAATTGGAATAGTGAGCTCGTTTACTGTCTGAAATCACAGGGTTTCCCCATACTCATACAGTTTATAAATTCATGTTATTCCAGGTCGAACCGAGTGCGATGATAGTCTATGAACAAGATGTAGAAGATTGCGGGTGACGAGAGCTCCTGACTTGAACCTATAGTTGAAAAGTGATTGGTCGGTTGATCTACATATTTTATTTCCTTGTTTTGTGGGTCTTTTCTCCGACGTGGAAAATCTCATGGATAGGAATCTTGTTTGAAGGTCGAGCAGCCCAATCTTTAGCGCATGTAGTTAGTGATATTTAAATGAATCTCAATTAATCATTCCCTAATGTTATGGCCAAAAAAAGGTGGCATTGAAGTATGCTGCTTCAACGAAATTGTCAAGAAATGTTATTCTCAATTATAAATCTCTTCTAGATTTAAGAAGATTTCCAATAGAGTTGTGCCTAACCATTGCAGCGAATAATCCAAAATCCCAAATCCAAGATTAGTATACATAATTCAGTTTCCTTTCTCTATCCTAAGCCTTCTATGATAAAAATGGTACATGCCTATGGTTTCAATGTGTACCTTCCTCAGCGTGTAAGCAACATGAATTCTGAAGGATCATGTAGGATTAAAAACTTTAATTCATTATTACAATTTTTGTCTAGTTTTCTTTATCAATGATAAACAGACATTTTACATAAAAAGTTTTATTTCCTATAGACAGATATTTAATATAACATTGTATCAAAATATAGATTACCAATACATTGTTTTGAAAGTCAATAATAGTATGACATTTCATTTTCATACTAATATCAAATAGTTTAAACATAAAACATCTACATCAAAATGGTTTTTTTTTTTAAATTTACTTAAGTATAAATCAGGAGGAATTAATTTTACTCAGATAAATCAACCAATTTTAAGCATAGATATGTAGAAGATCTTGTATAAGATTCTTTGCAAAAAAGTTAGTATTTTGATGAAGTTTTTTAGTTGATTTATTTTCAGATTTGTATAGATTTTTTTAACAGTCTTATTACTGAATAATATTGATTTTCAAATTACATATGTATAATTATTATAATCAATATATATAATTACATTTCTAGAATTATAATTGAAGGAGCAAGAGTTATACTCATCAAGAGTAGGAATCTTATGAAAAAAAAAAAATTTCTGTAATAGAAAATATATAATCACACCGTATCAAAGAATAGATTACCAATGCATAACTTTGAAATTCAATGATATGACTGTTGATTTTTATTTTCATATCAAATAGTTTAACATTACAAAATTACAAAAATTTAATGTTTTCTCAGTAATTAACTTAAGTATAAAATACAAATTGCTAATTTCTAAAAAATAAATTGATTCCATGCAGAGCTATGTAAGAGATGTTATATACGATGCTTGCAATAAAAAAATAGTAATCTTTCATGACAATTTGTTTGATTTTGGCCAAAATGTAGCTTGGATTCTTAATTCAAATATTTTTAAAGCATTTTTTTCACTTCGTGTAAATTTTTGAATAAAATTTAATGTCATATAAAAGATTGATATATTATATATTGACATATTGAATATATTTATTTTTATTACATTTCAAAAAAATTCGATTAATTTTGATCCAAATTACTTTTTGATTCTGAGAATATAATTTATAAACGTCAACAATCCATTTATTGTCGTTTTGTTTGAAGATGTTACTCACAAAAATTTCATGTTGAGCATCATATTCTTTGCCTCTTTCATCAATAGAAAAGGATTAAAATTACTTGTACATTGGCAAGACTATAAAGTAAGCAACAAACTTGAAAAAATGCAGCTAAGTTTGATAACCCTCCCAAAATGATAAAAAAAAACTTTCTACAATATCCATGAAAATCTAGTTTCAAAGATGTTTGAATCCAAGACGTATGAGCTAACATCAACACTGAATCATACTGTAGTCATGTGATTATCACATTGACTTCTTGTAATATTTTCTTGCTTTCTATTTTTGATAGATAAATAGAATAATATGAGGTAATTGTTGCTTGGAGGAGGAATAATGTCACAATCGTGAAAAACGCAGTTAACTTCAGAAATATAGTGGTGGTGACTCTTTTCAACTTCAGAATCCTTGTGACATACACAGCCAACCTCGGAGTTCTTGTAGCGATGACGGTACTTCTTTCCAACTTCAAAGTTCTAGGTTGATGACGGCGCTTCTTTTCAACTTCTTAGTCCTAGTGGCATTTTAATAATCCTAGTAGTCCTTGGTCTTGCTTGGAGTATATGTAAAGAGTGTCGAGACATTATCTCCCACTCTTCGTTAACACAAGTTGTACTTGTTTTTTTTAATCATTGATACTACTTCTAGTTTTCACACTTTAATTGTTATTCAAAGTCTTGTGAGAAGAATCTCCTCACTTTTGATCTATTTTGATTTTCTTGGAGGTATGTCCTCAATCTAGTCCTTTGTTTAATCATAGAAATGCCGTTCGCAACACACATACATAATTGTAATCATATTTTTAATTGGTATTTTTGGGGATAAAAGTAGCATTTTTGATAGTTTTTGCATTTAATAGTAACAATTTTGATTGCAAATTTATGTTCAAATGAGTTTATTGATATCATACTTTTTCTATAAATATATTTTTTGAGTACATAATGTTGTTCAATTTGTAAATGTATGACAATCTGATTGTTATAATGTTTAATATAACAACAATGTAAGTTGGGATGTGATCTGTAGATGCATCATAAAAAATTTCAACTTTAGATATGACGCAATAAGATAATAAGTATCACATTATGAACTCATTTGGATTAGATTCAACTTGGTGTGATCACATGTCTTAAATATAGTAATACATTTTCAGCAGAGTTTTTTTTTAAATATTTTTTTAACAGATTGTATTTTACTCTAACCATTTTACTCTAACTAATTTAAGTGTGATGAGATAATGAAAATTTATGTTTCATGATATTAAATTTAGCATCACTCTTAAGTTAAAATTAAAACATTATGCTAGCTGTATATTGATAAGTTTTTTCAATTATCAGAGAAACTAATCTTCGACATTCAAAATCTGAGATAAAATTTCAGCTCTATTTTTTGGAATTGACATAGCTGATTTCAATCACTGTAATAATTATAAAAAATTGCTGAAAAGAAATACAAGTCTATGCTATTATAGATTGATACTCATGACCATCTAGAAATATGAAATCTCAAAATAAATTAATTAAAATGTGGAGTTGTAATTATTATATACAATATCATGTTTCATCTTAACATAGTATAATCCTTTTTCTTAAATGCCATTGCAAGTGATTTATCATATTTTTTGAAGAATTAAATAAAATAAAATGTTTTATGAATGTCAAGCATTTAATGTTTGGCTGACTCAGAATTGTAGCATAACATATTTGATATTCAATTTTCCTAATGTAATTTTTTCTAAGTATGTACAATTTTATCTATCAAAATTAATTTTTATGGTTTTTGTTGGAGGAAACTCAATTTTAGAACATAAAAAATGTACGAGAGAGTTCGGAACTTAAACCTTTACAAGAAAACGTAGCGTTTACAATAGAGTTTAGGTAGCCATGTTTCAGGAGAGAGAGAGAGAGAGAGAGAGAATCTATGTACTTTGGGCTGTTGGTGGGGTCCTCTATAGTCTCTGATGGCCTTTGGTTGGTGCTGCAGAAGATGTTATCGTCTATGCTTGTGATCTGGTCTTCGTTCCATGCCTCTCCGAATTCCTATCCGTAATTATCTCCCCAATTACTCTTCCGTTGAACCAGTAGGAACTGTGATACAGTCTCAGTACAGTCTCCTACAAAACTCCCTGGCAGCATACTACCTTCAAGGTTTGAGAAATTGACTTTCAATTCGAGCTTCATGTGACTTTGTCAAGAACATCAACAAACTCAAGTGCACACTACACGTGATGCAACTGTGTAAATAACCTAGCTCGATCGAAATTGGACCCAACTTTTATCCCCCTGGAAAGAAATTCTTTTGGGCAATGTACCCTTCTAATTTAATAGCTTCAAAGTTCCTGTCTGCCGCCGAGGAACTGGAGAATCGGAATAATAGAGGCCTTGGAGAATGCCATACGACAAACCTCTACGCTGCACACACGAAATTTACACATCACGCACTTCTTTCTGTTTTTCCTAGCAGATCCTGATATAAGCACAAGTGGTTGTGGAATCCCTCATGAGAAATTACTTGATCGGAGGCTTCGGCCCCGGTCGCGTCTGCGTCGAGAATCGGGAACGTAGTGCAGGGAACACTGTAACATGGAGAGTGCTGAGGCTGCGGTCCTCTTAGCTTGGCAGAGTCCAATCAATTTTCGGCCTTCGGCCCATGCCCTTCTATGTATGAGGCCATGGGATAAGTTTGGCCTGCATGAATTCATATGAGAGATGTGGATCCATCCAGTTCCACAACTTGTGTGCTGAAATGGGCTGGAGCAGGGGTGTCTCAATCATAACCAAATGTGCAGAAGGAAACAGATGAAACGACTCCGTCTCTCCCAGAAACTTCTTGCTACACTCGTTCACGGAAGAATACCATTTCGTCCGATCCTCATCGACGGTTCCGTGGATTGCTTTCCTGAAGTGTGAGAGAAACTTACAGCAGACGAAGTCATGTTTGTTCACATAGAGATACGGAGACCAATTGGCTTCGGCCAGTGTAATGAACTCCGCTAATGCTCTGCTTCTCCTGTCGGTGTCGGGCTCTGCATTGAGAACTTTCCTCCCGAAGCGCTTACCAGCTTCATAGAGTTTTTCACCCTTGGCCGCAAATGCCTTGATCATAACGCGTTTCACAGCATGTGCACAGGTGCGCGCCAGCGATTCCAGAGTATTGAATGGAGGATTGAAGAAGTGGCCCTCGACCAGACAGCCCTCCAGTGCCAACCTTCGACAGACCAGCAAGCCCGCTGCGGCCCCGAGTGAATGACCGGTCACGTTCACGTTGCAGTACCCATGTTCCTTACCGAGACGCCTGACCACAGCGTGCAGAATTGTGATCAAATTTGAAGAGTTCAGTTTCTCCACAACGATCTTGTAATCGTTTTGGAGATCCGCCCAAGCCGATGGCTCAGTTCCCCGGATGGCGACTACCCAGTCTGGAGCCTCGGCTGAAGGCCTCTCTTTATTCCGTCGGAAGACACCGAAGTACTTGTTGTTACGCTCATCCTGCAGTTCTGCACAACCATTTATTTTTTGCCTCAGTCAAGCAAGGTCGGATTCAGATGGGGTTCAGGTCGAGATGGATCACGTGAGTCCGATACAACACGCACCTTTTGCATAGAGATGAAGCTCGTCCTTGGTCAATATTGACTCCAACGGGAGCAGATGATAGTGCACCCTGGTCCACCATTCCTCGCATTCTTTTTCAGGTTTGCCATTGAACCTGTCGTACATCCCATAGATCAGCCTTCCGTGGATCACACGTTTCTTGATCTTCCGCACTCTTGCGTCACTGTCATGATCATGGGCAGAAATTGAGCTTAATCAGTTATACCATATCTTAGACGCCAAACTTTCTGGCCTTCTTCCAATACACGTAACTATTTCTCATGTCTATGAAACGAAGATTAGTGCAGGAAGTATCGGAACTCAGAGTCTAAACAGTCTTCTTACTCTTGTTGATCGTTTGCGTGAAAGATCAGTTCTGGATCGTTCTTCTTTGCTTGACTCTTCTTTCTAATATTATATGCTACATGTACGTACGCCCCAAAGACGATCCCACCACCCACAAGTGCACTCACAGAGCCCATGGTCTGGTCACTGAGAAGGATACGAAGGAGTCAATAATGATCATGCTCTAGGTGGCAGCTCACTAGGTCCCCAGCTTATCACCGGAATTGTTTAATTCTCTTCGCTGGGCCATGCATTCCCTTCTCTGCAACCTTCGAACAACTTAGAACCATGATAACTTGTCACAATCCAACAGAGCTTCCACTCATTCGTTTGCGAGAACGACGAATTCCACACATCGCAGAGTTCCTAGTCGTTCAAACCACGTGTCAAAGTGATTGGGATGGTCGTCAATCGTCATGAGCGAGTGGCGTCTAGACACAATCCCCGTAGAAAGACGTCCTCTTGCGCCGCCCGGACATAGGCCTGCTCGCTCACCCCACACCATGAAGCCACTGCCATTGCTACCGGCTCGTGAGCTGATTAATCCTCAAACGCTCAGGCTCAGCTTCGAATGTATCGAATGTATCCAGCCAGCTGCATTCTCAACCGTGGTCACTGCTGTATCATATGCTGCACATGCTTGCCTTCGTTGTTTCTAGGATCACGCGGTGGCTTTGACCTGTGGGGGCTTTGACCTTCTGTCCTTCGTCCAATCATCCCCGGAGCCGGTGGACGGACTGCTGGTCAAGATTGCATGGAATGGAGTGTCAACTGAGTCTTCTCAGAGGCGCTAGATATACGGATAGCCTTGAAAATCGACGTGGCTATCACGCGTACTTATCCATCCGACTGTCAAAACTTCTTATGTTACCACCCGTTCCAGCGCCTGCATGCTCGCAGAGAGCTTTGATGCTTGCACAATAGTGCTTCTCGTTTAATTTGCGGTGTTCGAAAATGTTCTTGTAATTGGTATCGATCTGAGTGTATTGGCTATCATATATCCTATTTGTGGAGGTAGATAATGTGTGGACGTCAGATACTTGTCATACTTGAAGACCTTGTCAAGGACCGAATATTTCATGAATCTCTTGACCAAATTACCGCTTGTTTTCCAGTGTATGTTCTTTCAGAATGAGTTTAAGCTGCTAAGGCCATACAACAATTTCTCTATTTCCGCATATCGAGGAAACTGAAAAATCGTACAGTCTAGGAACTCACAGGCGGTACCTGCGTGTACAAGTTTCCAGCACGGTACAAAAACCGTAGCAGTTGTCCAAATTATCAAGTCCTTCCTATCTGTACCATACCATACTCAGTGTACCCGATGTGGAAGAAGAAACTATGTCTTTCCTGATGGAGGAACGGAGCCCATACATTCGTCCAAGCATTGTGTTCTTGTATTTGTGGAATTTGCGTCATACGCAAGAATCAATCAGAAAACAGTCCATACTGGCAACCATGTGAGCTTCGTGGTCCAACTGTGTCAACGTGTAGAGTCTGCTCCTGCTTTGGCTTAGATTCTATATCAGAAATTCATCACGTTTCCTCATAGATATCATCCCGAGCAAGAGCTTTTACTGAGCGACCCAACAAGTAGTCAATTTGATTCAAGAGATTAATTGCAATTTATCTCTATTTTTAGCATTCGGTTTCATACAACTTTTATCCACATTAAAATACAAGTTCGATCAAAATCCGTACGATGAAAATTCGACTCAGAAGATTCACCCTAATAACATTTGATTGTAGTTGCAGTGTGGATATGGTAATATAGGATTCTGAAATCTGCTGCTCTTTATACACGCGCTTTTGAGCGAAGTCGTCACTACTTGTGTGTCCCAGTGTCATCGAATTCTGAGCAATGGGACATTGATGAGATTCAGATCTCTCATCAATGCCAAAAGGCCTGATAATACCTGACGGTTTCAACACACTGACAATACTGAGTGTCCACTTGTTTGTTGTGCTGGAGAGCTAAAAGAGTCAAGTTGATGTCCCATAGTTTGTTGTTTTCTACTGGACCCCGATTTTGTGGGTACCCAAACAAAGTACATTCACTGTTTAGTTGCACTAGTTCTCTACATACGAACATGAGAAGTAACTCGCAAGTGACAGATGTTCAACAACTTGAGTGGAATAAAAGTCCACGAAAGATACTATGCAGAATCTTTCTAGAAGTTAAAATTAACGTATAACGTGAAAGAAGGTAAAAAGTGATGGACCATTTCTCGATTTGTGCGTGTCATCCTTGCGCACTGACCATGCTAATTTTCTCTGTATCTTTCCAATTTTATCGGATGTCCCGAAGGGACAATGATACTGCGCTCACTTCCTAATCTGAGTCTCCTTCTTCCAATACACTATGATGAAGAAGTCGATATTCCGGGCATCATTGGGGGTATATGACTATTTCTTATGGTTTAATTTATTTGAGATTTTGTAGGAAAGAATGTTCAGCTCATTGATGAGCTTCATAAAGTCCACTTTCCACTTGTGGTATCTTTACATCCTTGCGTGATCTTATCTCATGACATAGAATTGGGTTTACTAGTAATTGCAAAATGATTATGGTTTAATATTGATAGAAGTGAACTAATCTCCACGTTCTGTGACAAAGGAAATATGAAGAACATGTGTTTGTTACATATCAAGGTATGAATAGTTTCCATAAAACTTTGATTGATCATCAAATTCTTCATCTAGTTTTCTTTTTCAATGATTAATAGACATTTTATAACCTACGTATTTTTCTACAAATAGATATTTATTGTTCCATCTTATCAAACTATAGATAACCAATTCATAACTTTGAAAGTCAATGAAATGACATTTGATTTTCATCTTAATATCAAGTAGTTTTAGCATAAAAAACTTAGAATGATTTGGTCATTTTATTTAATACCCTAAAATACTCAACTTAAGTATGTACTTAAAGTAACTTAATTTACTGACATCAATCAATTAATTTCATGCACAATTGAGTAGAAAATCTTGTATAATATTTTTTTCAAAAAAATATAGTAGTGTAACAAAAAAATGTAGTTTGACTAAAATTAAGCTTATTCACTTATTTTTGGATTTTTAATAATATATTGTTGTAATAAAAACTAAAGATTTCTAATTAGGATGAATGATAAATCAAAATTTATTTCCAGATGTTATAATTCAGAAGTCAACAACAAGAATTATCAAAAGAGGGTTTTGAAAATAATAATTATATAAAAATTTATTATTATTCCATTTTTTGGTTTTTTATGACAAAGTATAAGGCACAAACATTTCATGATGAGTTGTTATGTTTTTGCCATTGTTTGTAGATAAGACAAAATATTGTATGTTTCATACATTTTTTTTTTATCTTTCATGCAGACTTTTTTTGTTTGTTGATAAATATAGTGATAATTTTACTGATACAAAATAGTGTCGCCTCAATTATAATGATTTCTTGATCGATTAAAAAAAAATTCTTTGATCTATGCAAAATAATTGTCAACTTTGCCACTGCAAGTTTCAACATGATTCTAAAAATAATCAAACTCTCAATCTTGCAAAATTGCCGTCATTTTTGCTGCTGAAATGAGTACTTTGATCTTGAAAGAACAACCATTTTCACTTTCTAGATTTGAATCGTCGTTATTGTAATTTTCTTTTTTTTGGTGGTAAGAGTGATAGTTTTTGTCTTAATATCACAGATCATGACATAGATAATTTTACATATAGGGATTTAGGTACAAATGAGACACAATAATTAAAGCCAATTGTGCATTCAACAACATTCACATTTGATTGATAGTTAGATTTACTTTCACTTTCTAAACACTTAGCATTCAAGATAAATTGCAAATTATATATCTGGAGAGTGCAGCAGTGATTATGCAAAGTAGATTTTGAAAATAATGATAGGTTTGGAGGAAGAAAATGAACTTATTTTAATGATGGATATTATGTCTTAATGAACATTTTCAAAGTTGTAAAAAATGTTGTGATACATTTATGATAATCTATGAAAGTATGCTTCTTGTGAAGTTTCACCAATGATGATATATCTTGTGATGCAATACGTATATGCATGAGATTTCAAATTTGTTATGATTGCATTTACTATCATATTATCAATTTCTATCATTATCATGATTTAAATTTGATGAAATTTACATCAATGACAACGTTTCAGGCTGTTTTTTTCTCATATAAGAAAATAAAAAATTTATATTTTTCCTAAATATAGTTGTGATAATTGATTGATTGTTTTTTGGAACAACGGAGCATATTTGATAGGTTTAACATTGAGTATTAACAAAAAGTTACAATTTTTTCTTACAAATGTATGCTCAAATTAATTTATTTTTATCATATTGTATATATATATATATATATATATATATTGAGCAAGAGTTTTGTACAATGTATTGATGTATGACAGTTTGAATATTATAATGCTTAATTTAACAACAATGTTCTTTGTGTTCTTAGGTGCATAATGAAAAAAAATCTAGTTGAAATAGGGCGCAATAAAATTATAGTATCATGTTGTGAACTCGTTTAAATTAGATTCAACATGTTGTGATTGCATGTCTTGATTAGAAAATTATCATTTGAACATACTCTTCATTTAAATCTAATTTTTCAACAGAATCTCAAAACAATCTTACAATTTGGATAATTTGAATAATATTAAACGTCAAAACAAAAGTAACGTTTTTCAACTTATGAGTGATGATAATTAAAATTCATCTTTCATGCTATGAAATCTTGCATTATTCTTGAGCACCTTGAAATCAAAACTTTATGCTACCTGAATATTGACAATGCTTTTCAAGTATCAAATAAAGTATATGAGATTGAACGTCTAAGCTAAATTTCAACGCATATTTTTTAAGATTACATGGTTGATTTAAATCATTACAAAAAATAAAAATAAAATCTCTGAAAAACATTACAAGTCTATGCAACCAGAGATTGATACTAGAAATTATATATAATAATAAAAATCTAGAATATAAAATTATTTTTTCAAAAGAAATAACATGTTTTGTAAATTTTTAATCATTACATATATTTGCATAATTTATCCTAACTCAATCAATATAGTCCTTTGTCTTGAATGCCATTGCAAAAAATTAAATGGTTTAGAAAATAGTATAAAAAATACGTTTTATGAATGTCAAAGATCAGATATTTTGCTGCCTCAGATTTTTGTAGAAAATTTTTCTAATTTTTTTAGCATGGTAAATGGTAAATGTTAAATGATTTTTTTAGCATGTGTAACTTTATCAATCAAAATAAAATAATATCCTCTTTGTCATTATTGGACTTCAATATTTCATTACACTCATGCTTGTCAGAGCAAACAAGAAAATTGTGAAGATCAGCTCAAATATATATATATATATATATATTAAAAAAATCATTCAATAAATAATCACTTAATCATAAAAAATATAAAAAAATAAATCTCTTAAATCTATTTAAGATGGAAAAAATTTAATTCGAATTTACACAGACTTGGTGATAAATTTTTAAATATTCAATCAAACAAATTAAACAGAATGCAAGTTAACAATATAATTATCAAAATTTCTTAATGATTTATATAAAATGAATCTACGAACGTAAAGATTACTTAAACTTTAAAT